ATACCTCACCCCATACAGAAAAACAAACTCAAGTTGGGTCAAAGAGTTAAATATGCAACCCAAAACTATGAAATTTATCAGAGATAAAATAGGGGTAAATCTAGGAGCCCTAAATTATGGCATAAATAGACTACCAAGCATAACCCAGAATGCATAGGATTATACACTAGACCAATGATAGATTCAACTGAGGCTAATCTTACACAGATGCCAGTGATATAAAATACCCACAATCCTTACAGAAACAACAGAAGACAGACAAACAGCAGTTCCTCACAGACAGACAGACACTGTGGGAGAGAGATCCAATGGATCTACCGACTCAGGACCATAGTACTGGGGGACACTAGACTCAATTGACACAACAAAATACATAAATATCTTGTTCCACAGCCTACATTGGTGAGTAGGGATGAGGTCTCAAAAGCTTTCAAGTTGCCATCTAAGATGCAGCTAATGGTCTCCTATTGTCGGAAGCGAAGAAGAGTGCAAAAAACCAAGGGTATTTGGAAGCAACCAGCTCTAGGACATGATGGAGCTTGAGACCAGAAGAACTAGATGGTGCCCGGCTACCAACACTAACCATTTGGGAAAGGATCAAAAGTGGAGATCCTGGATAGAATGGAAGGAAAAATGTGGAACGAAATCCAAAAGCATAATAATGACGAGATGTACTGGTCAGATGGAGTCTGGTGGGACCCCCAGTACTATGGTCCTGGGATACACTTTGGGCCTGGAATAAAACTCACTCCCAGGGGCTGGCTCTCAGCCCATTAGTAAATAAGACATACACATAGACCACTAAACCCAGGATGGTGCACCCACATATTCTATGGAGATGCATCCCTTGGAGCAATTGACCACAGGGCTCCAGAGGGGCAATATCTGCATGGAGGAAATGCAGGACACACAGGAGTGCATAACTGTGATGGGCATGGGGTGGGGAAGGTTACGGGGAAGGGAGGGGAGGGGAATGGGTTAGGACTAGGGGAGTGAAACCAAATGTACCTGAAATGTTGAATGTAAAACAAACTCTGCTCTGTAAACTTGCACCTAAAGCACGATTTAAAAAAATAATAATAATTAAAAAAAAGAAAACAAAGGAAGAAGTAATTCTAAAGAAAAGGGGGGGAAGGGAAGAAGAAAGTGGCAAGGTGGGACATCCTTATCCACTTGGCATAGATGTCCAGGAATGTTGAAGGACACAGAGTATGTTTTTGTTATTGTTAGGTGCTGCCAAGTCGGCTCCAACTCATAGCAACCCTACGTACAGCAGAACGAAACTCTGCCTCGTCATGGACCATCCTCCCAATCATTGCTATACACAAAGTATAAACCAACTCTCTGTCATCAAGTTGATTCTGAGTCGTAGCAAGCAACCCCCATTGGGTTTCTACGGCTGTAAATCTTTATGGAAACAGACCACCTCATCTTTCTTCCACAGAGCAGCTGGTAGGTTCGAAGCACTGACCTTATGGTTAGTAGCCAAATGCCTTAACCACTACCCCACCAGAGCTCCTTTACCTATAGTACAGAACCTCAAATTATAAGCTGTGTGCCGGGATACCCCAGAATGCTGCATCAAACTCAAAGGGCCTCCCACTGTACTTTCAATTTTCAAGAGAAATACAGAGACTTAACACCTGCTGATCAGTGTTTGAGGTGTTCAGTTGGGTGAAGGAACTTCTATCTGCTTCCTCTGAAGACATGGTTAAAGGGCTGTCGAAGAATC